CACAACTTAGCACGAGAGCGAGTCAACTTGGTGACAGAGAAGATGAAGACCCGATACGACACAAGAGCTACTGAACATCAATTCCACGAAGGAGACAAGGTGTGGTTGTGGAATCCGACTCGACGGAAAGGACTTTGTCTGAAATTACAGTCACCTTGGGATTGTCCGTACATAGTCCTAAACAGGCTGAATGACGTCGTGGTTCGGATTCGTAATTCTTCGAACTCTAAACCTAAAGTCGTTCATTACGACAGGTTAGCTCATTACTATACTATAGTACGTAGTGTAAATAATTGTAAATAGTGTAAGACCATGGTCCCTTTTTGTTTCTAAATGTGTATTTAGTATTTGATTTGTATTTTGTATTTGATTTGTATTTAGTATTTGATTTGTATTTAGTATTTGATTGCATTTATTGTTCATGTTTTTTTGTTATTGTAATAAAATGCTTATTATTGCATTTATACCTTTAGTTGTAAGTTTCGCTTCCTGTCCAGGGATTGCACTGCCCGGGACGTGCAGTCCTTGGGAAAGGGGCAGTGTTATGAATTTGGTATTTAAAAAGCTAATGTTAGTTCAGTTATAAAGTAAATGGTTTTATTTCCTGCGCAATGCAGCGCGTGACGAATATTAAAAGAAAGCTAAGCTGGAAAATTGAAAATACAAGAGTGTGTGCATTTAACATTTAATAAATATCTCTTTTTTATTTCGAGAAAGTACTAGAAAATTCTCGCGCGCGATTTTAAAATCTTATAAAAGGAGGAAAACCTTTCAGTTTGTTGTAGTTCTTAGTTTGTTGTTGTTTAGGAAACTGCTCTTGTTGACTGTAGCGAATTCGCGGATTAGCTTTCTTTAGCTGTTTTGAATTAAGTTCTATTGAATGTTTGAGTAGTTAAAAGATAACTACCGTGAGATATTGTACTACTGCACGAATATTTTATGAAATTTAAGCATATTTGTTGTGATAATAATAAATTTTTCTTCCTTTTTCATCGGACTTGTGCATAGAATGTTTGGCGCTAAGCAATAAAAATATAATATGAGTTGCAAATATCTGAATAGCTGAATTAAAATAAATTAAATAATAAAAAATAGTAGCAATAAGCATGTGCCATCTAACAAGAAAGAAGAAATCAAAGGGATAAAAAACTATGAGATAATTCTTTTAAAAGCTTTTTGAGGAAATTATAATTAATATTTAATTAAAACTGACAGATTTTGGTAAATGTGGAAAGCTTCACGCAAATCCAATTTCCCAAATGAAGAAGTCTTTTGGATAATTTAGCAGAATTAAAATTTTAAAAATTATTCAAACAAATAATGATTCGTTTTATTTTCAGGTTATTTATAAAATTCAGGTTTTTTACATGAAATTTTAATACTTTCGTATTTGACTGACGTATATCTGCTATATACAATATAGTACATAAGATCAGTTATAATATATATTTTTTTGTTTATGGCCCATTTTCAAATTTTGCTTACATATGCTGTCCCAGAAGAAAAGAAAGAAAATTCAAGATAAATTAATATTTCAAGTTTAATTTTAGCAATACATTGCATAAAGATGACTAAAAATATATTTCTACAATTTAAAATATAAAAAAATCAATTGAAAATTTTTACACATAAACTTAGCAAATCAATAAAATTAATTTGTCTTCCACATCTTGTCAAGTCCATTACCTTGAGATTATTTTACCCTCAATTAGTTTGTAAATCTGCCTTTAGGAGGCAGTACATATTCAAAGTAGTCAATCTTAGCATGACCAGTTTATTTATGCCACTGAATATGTACTGCCCCTTTTAGGCAGATTTACAAATTAATTGTGGGTAAAATAATCTCCAGGTAACAAACTTGGCAAGAAGTGGAAGACAAAATTTTTTAATTGATTTGCTAAAGAAAAAAAAAACTTCTGTAATTAATTTTTATTATAAATATAACACACTAATAAATTCATATTTAAAATAATTAAACTTCTTTATTTAAAAAAATGAATTAGGTTACAAAACAAAGAGATTGAATAACATAAAACTGAAAGGGACAGGTATTTTTGCCTACGATTGTATTTTTAAAGATTTATACAGTACGAAGTCGTTAATCCGGACCTCAAAGCTACAAACTTTACCAGATTTAATTGATGATCTATAATCCGGAATCGCCGAAGTCCCGACAAGTCCATATTAAAGAGTTTGTACTCTATATAAAAAATCTCAGTTGATTTTTTTTTTTTTTTTTTTTTAAATTTTAAAATTGTAGAAATATATTTATACAGTCAAAAGTCGTTGATCCGGACACGTCGGGACTTCGGCGATTCCGGATTATCGATTTTTTCTGGATTATAGATCATCAGTTTTAAATCTCGTAAGATGGCATGCGAAATTCTAAAATTAAAAATATGAAACCGTAATTTATGAAATAAAGAACAATTATGATCTAAAGGGTATCAAATTTACAAAAAAAAAAAAAAAAAAATGCTTAATATTTATTTCTTTACTTTATTAAAACATTTCTTCAATGTAGTTGTTTAAGTTGCTTTGTTTTATGTGATAATACTTTCTCTTTAATTCTATAAACAGACATAATTTTGTTCAGTTACAAAGTTCGCTGTTCAAGTCCCGTAATTCCTGTGCCGAGAATACCGACTAACTTGTCAATCGAAATTTTTTCGTTTTCACTAACCTCTCTGTTACTTCTTCATGTCTTTATCCATTTTTTGCAGCAATTCCCCTTTTGTTTTGATGGACATCTAAACATACTTTCGTTTTGTATATCCTTTGGGAGCTCCAGCATTGGAAATTCTATTTGACATAATCGAAAGTTCAAGTTTACTTTTATAAAATTGCTCTCACAGTCTGCAAAAAATAATAAGCCCGATCCAATTCGAAGATTAAGGTACAACACAATCATCAACATTAACTGAAATAGATAATTAGATAATTTAGCTTATACCTTCCGTTATACACAAAACGTGCACGCGAAAACGTATTCTGCGCTTGCGCACACGCAAATGCGCAGTCGTAAAGGTCTTGCACGCACGCGTAAACGCCTATGCACATGTGTCAACGCGGTGCATGCGCAGAAAGTTTTTAGCTTTGAGGTCCGGATTATGGGTGTCCGAATTAACGACTTTTGACTGTAGTAATTTTTATGCTCAAACTTTAAATCTAATTTATCTTGGATTTTCTTTCTTTTCTTCTGGGACAAAGAAGATTCTGGAGAAGTTTATCTTCAACCCATAGCCCAAATATAGTTCTGAGACATCAAAAATGAGTTTGACTCAGATACTCCATATATTACCATTAAAACTGTAAATACATTCTATATTGACAAGAATAAGAATATGGCTTACTAAATTAATTTAATGCCTTGCTTCTTGGCAACAATAAAATTTCTGGACTTGATACAATGCTATTACAGTCAAAAGTTGTTGATCCGGACTCGTCGGGACTTCAGCGATTCCGGATTATAGATCATCAGTTTAAATCTGGAAGATGGCATGCAGAAATTACAAAATTAAAAATATGAAACCGTAATTTATGAAATAAAGAACAATTATGATCTAAAGGGTTGAAAATTTACAAAAAGAAAAAGCTTAATATTTATTTGTTTACTTTATTAAACATTTCTTTCAATGTAAGTTGTTTAAGTTGCTTTCTTTCATGTGATAATACTTTCTCTTTAATTCTATTAAACAGACATAATTTCTTGTTTAGTTAGTTAGTTCCGCTGTTCAAGTCCTATAATTGCTCTGTTGAGAATACCGACTAATTTGTCAATCGAAATTTTTTCGTTTTCAATAACCTCTGGGTCACTTTCTTCACTATCGGAAGCGAATTATAATGACGAGGAACTTCATTTAAATCATATCAAAGACGGAGTACATCGAGATGACATACTACATTTAGTAAGGAATTATAAGCCAAATAAAATAAAAACATCTGCCCTGAAGATAAGGATAGTGCTAACAGATCAACTTCCAATTCATTGCGCGCCGCGGCATGAAAATGATAAACAGATTTCAGATTTCGAAACATACTTTCGCTTTGTAGATCCTTTAGATATTAGTAAATATATACTGGAAATTCTGTTTGACATAATCGAAAGTTCAAGCTTACTTTTATAAAATTGCTCTAACAGTCTGCAAAAAATAGTAAGCCGGATCCAATTCGAAAATTAAGGAACAACGCAATCTTTGAGGTCTGGATTATAGATCATTCCGGATTATGGGTGTCCGAATTAACGACTTTTGACTGTATCAGACAAGTGAAATAACACACGTAATGCTTTATTAAGAATTAATTATTTGATAACATTGTGAATAATTAAGACACAATAACACGCCGAATAAATACTAATTCATAAGTCAAACAACAAAAATCAGCGTTATATTTTCAAAGTTTTCGCAGAAGCATCTGCCCTCTTATCCATGTTGGCTTTTACTGTGAAGGAGTTTTATCCATACAGGTATTTTTCACAGGAGCTAACTGCGCATTTTTTTTTTCCTTCCCCCTGTGTGCTTTTTTCACCTGACCTTACATAAGGGAACTGAAAAACATCTCATTAATTTCTTAGAGCCTTTCACATTTACCAAAATCCATTAACTTTAATTAATGATACTAATTCCAATTCAAATTTTTCAACTGCTTTTAAAATCCTTTTTCTTATAGTTTTGAAGTGTTTGATTTCTATTTTATTCATCAGATGAGACTATATTTGTTGCTTCTCATTGCTTTTAAATATTTCTTTACTTTTGCTTATTCAAATAACATATTTCAGGTTTACAGAGCAAGGTACTTTTACTGTTGAAGAAGGACTCTTTGCTGCTTCTTTCAGAATCTGAAGTTTTTCTATAAAGCATTAATCTAAGATTGATTTTTGAATAAATTTAAGCCACTTCTATGAGAATTAAAAAAAAAAAAAAAAAAAAAAAAAAAAAAAAGAATTGTTGCATGCAAAAACTTTACAAATAATGAATTAATTCCAGTAAATTACCTACCTTTACAATGTTCCCATTTTCTTTAATTGGACACTGTTTGCTATTATCCCTTTCCTCTTCCTGTAAATAAACCTTCGCAAAACTAGAGCCAATCTGAGTTTCTTTATCTTGATTATTTTTGCCGTATCTATCACTTGTATTTCCTAAATTAATGCCTGTAGATAATGGGATGTTATTGTTAGATAAACTTTTACTCCTGGTAACTTCTTCTGAAGATGCAGAATTTTGTTGATCAACAGTTTTTTTCTTTAAAATACCGCGGACATACTTAAGCTGCAGAAGTAGCAATAGATACTGGATGTCAGTAAGTGTCAAATCTATAAAATACAATATCAAATATAATATTTCAGAAAACTGATAGTGATTAAAAATTTTGTAATTGACATGTGAATTAGTTATCTCTTCTAAATTAGGACTGTATAATTTAAATAAGACAGATATACTTCCATCACAACAACTAAAACATATATAAAAGGCATTTACCTTTTAGAACTGATACAGATAGATTTTTTTCACATTTAATGTACATGACAGAAATCTCCTCAGTCATTATAATTAGATTTTCAGTTATATATTAAGCACAGATTTATATCATGATTAATATTTCATTTATTTACACAATATAATGCATTATTACATCATTTAATTCATTATTACAGTCAAAAGTCTTTAATCTGGGCATCCATAATCCGGAATGATCTATAATCTAGACTTCAAAGCTACAAACTTTCTGCGCATGCGTAATGCATAATGCGTTTACGCATGCGCATATGACCTTTACGCAAGCGCATATGACATTTATGCATGCGCGTTTAATGTATAACGGACGGTATTAAGCCAAGCTAAAATTATCTAATTATCCATTTCAGTTAATGTTGCAGATTGCGTTGTTCCTTAATTTTCGAATTGAATCCAGCTTATTATTTTTTGCAGCCTGTTAGAGCAATTTTATAAAAATTAAGCTTGAACTTTCGATTATGTCAAAAAGAATTTCCAATTCTGGAGCTGCCAAAGGATCTACAAAGCGAAAGGCGTGTTTTGAATGTTCCATCAAACAAAAAGTGGAATTGCTGCAAAAAATGGATAAAGGCATATCCTTTGTTTCTCTAACCATTCCGAAATCTGTTTATCAATTTCACGTGGCTCTGAGGGGGGGGGGACGACGCGGTGCGCAATGAACTGGAAGTTGATCTGTCAGCACTATCCTTATCTTCAGGGCAGATGTTTTTATTTTATTCAGCTTATAATTCCTTACTAAATGTAGTATTTCATCTCGATGTACTCCGTCTTTGATATGATTTAAATGAAATTCCTCGTCATTATAAATATCACGAATACACATTTAATAGTTTTCTGGTTGCAATTTTCTAATGTCGACTATGTGTAATGTATGCTTTATGCATGTGCGCATTGAAAGAAATGTTTAATAAAGTAAACAAATACATATTAAACTTTTTTTTTTTTTTTTTTTTTTTTGTAAATTTTGATACCCTTTAGATCATAATTGCTCTTTATTTCATAAATTACGGTTCCATTTTTTTAATTTTATAATTTCTGCATGCCATCTTACCAGATTTAAATTGATGATCTATAATCCGGAAAAACCAATAATACGGAATCGAAGTCCTGAGGAGTCCGGATTAGACTTTTGACCGTACATCAATTTATGATGTGTATTAAAACAGATGGTTCAAACAAACCAATATTTATTATATATTCAACAATTCCATAGAAGCTCAGTATTTTCATCCTTGGATAAGTTGACATAACAGAGAAACCTCACTAATTTCATATTGTAAAAAAGAGATTTTCACTCAAGTCAAAAGAAAATTTATATCACATACATTACAATCTTATTTATCCAACATTTTCCAAAATGATGAAGTGATTAATTTACAAAACAGACATCCAGATATGGATACTTGACATATGAAAATGATTTTGTAACTAACCTGAAAACTCAGTTGCAATATTCTAAAAACCTCTTACTCGGGAATGGGGGGGTGATTAGTTAACAGTTATAGTAGGATTTAATGTTAATAAGTGATAAGCATGACACTGTAATACAAACATAACATCTTGTTTTTATGTAAACCTGAATAATTCTTGACAAGCTAGTGTGGAGAACTCTTTATTATTATTATTTGTCCGCTGCCCCGAGAGAGGGCACTACCAGCTTTCTCCCACTTCCTCTCTGGAGGAAAATTCGAACTGGTTACTCGGTTCCTGGCTGCCGTCTGTGAAGCACGCACTCACCTTCTTTCTCTCCGTGATGTTATCGTAGCTGTAATATGACTTTCTTGATTTTTACTCATGCAGACTTGTGAAATGAAAAAATGCTCATCTTGTATAACTACATGCAATGTGATTGTTCTAAAGTGAAGTATGTTAAAATATATATCATCCTAGAATTAAATATAAATGTTAATAGTTACCGAGTCAGATTTTATTAACATTCAACGTGCAATCAAAAATGGCATCCATCAACAACAGCCATAAATGGTGACTCGTCAAGTTTAGTGAACACGTGCCTCCTGTAACCTGCTTGCATCCTCAAGTTCTGTGATTATAATGTGCTATGAAGTGAAATTATTTCTGTTCATGCAAACTACTAGCGTAATCCATCATTATTTTCGTGTCATCAGCAATATAGTGTGAAAAACAGTTGTGCCTGCTTAACAACGTGCTTGTGAATTATCATGTGTCTCATGCAAATCGTCAAAGTGCTTTGAAGTGATCTCCATATAAATCGTACAACGTGGTTTACATATCATAAAATAAGTTTTTTCGGAATATTTTTTCTATAAGTGAATTGTGTTGTGCTGAATCTGCTGCTGACTGAGCAAATATTTCTCGTATAATTCGGAGGTAAGCCACGCAAATTCTTAGTATTACTTATGCTTATATTCGGATAGCTTACCTGCAAAAGTGTTTCTCTCACGTTAATGTTTACATTAACTTTATTTATTTTGCACTAGTGTCGTATGTGAACTTATTAGTGACTGATTATTGTGTATTTATTTGTGTCATATTGGCAATATATATTTGTTTTTTGTGAATCATGGCTCCACCACAACCCATCGCAGACGATCTTAATATTTCACGTGTTTTCCGTCAAACTCCCCCATTTTGGAAGGTCAATCCCTACTTTTGTGGTTTGCACAACTAGGAGGCCCAGTTTGATATCGCCGGAATCACTGTTGACTCCACGAAATTCAATCATGTGATATCTGCAATCGAATTCTGATATTCTCAATAGGCGTTTGTTGATATCGTTTTGCACTCCACCTGTGACTGGCAAATGCGATACACTAAAAACACACTTAATTGAATTGCATTTCTGAAAGTGAGGAGTCAAAGATACTGTACACTTCTTCAAAGGGCTAGAACTTGGCGATCAACGCCCATCACAATTACTTTGCCGTATGCGAAACCTCGCTGGAGAGACCGTTGGAGAACCTTTGTTGAAATCCCTATGGATATCTCGTCTCCCGCAAAATACACAAAGTATTCTTGCTGCCTTAAGTGATGATCTTCCAAAACTAGCAGTTGTAGCTGATAAAATTACAGATCTCACAACTCTCCCGCACATAAATAGTGCTGCTACGGCATCTACCTCTCCCATTGAACAGCAAGTTGCAGAGCTGACAAAGCAGGTAAATGAACTTTTCGCTAGCCCTCAAAAACAGCCGTGAGCGTTCCTGTGAACGAAGAGACTATTCCAAACGCAACAGTAGGCGTAATAGATCTAGTGGACGCTATCGACAGTATAAAGAACCGTGCAACAACATCTGTTTCTTCTACCATACTAATTTTGGTTCCAAGGCACGAAAATGTTTCTCTCCGTGCAATTTCCGGCAGTCGGAAAACTAGATCGGCGATCGCTTGCCGGCCAACGTTGCGACCGCCACATCAATCGAATTCTTTTGGCCCGATTCATCCTCAAAGCTGACTTTTTTAATTGACACCGGAGCCGGATTTATCTGTCATTTCCCAAGAGTTACAGTCAGCATGCCAAAATACCAGCTGCATTGGAACTCTTTGCTGCTAACGGCACTAAAATTGCAACGTATGGCACCAAACTTTTGACCATCAATTTAAACTTACGTCGCTCATTTACTTGGCCTTTTATCCTGGCAGACGTCAATCAACCCATCATAGGTGTTGACTTTCTCACAGAAGTTCAACTTACTCATAGACGTTAAAAACAACCGTTTAATTGATGGACAAACAAAACTATATTCTTGCGGTAGACTTCCTAATGTGAACCCGCTCAGTACTAGCATTCATATTTTGATGGGTAACTCAAAATTTGACAAAATTCTTGCCGATTACCCTAGCTTGACGAATCCTTCGCAAACTTTTGAGAGGCCACCAATGTCAACGATTTTCCATCACATTGAAACTAAAGGACCTCCTATTTTCTCCAAACCTAGAATTATCTCCAGAATTACTTCAAGCTGCACGTCAAGATTTGATTTTCTCCTATCAAAGGCATCATTCAGCCTTCAAAAAGTCCTTGGGCAAGCCCCCTGCACATATGGTTCGTAAGGCTAAATGGCGACTGGCGACCGTGCGAGGATTATCGTCGCTTAAATGCCGTTACAATTCCGGATCGCTTATCCCGTATACCCCATATTCAGGATTGCACTCAAATGTTTTCAGGAAAGAACATATTCTCAACACTTGAATTAGCACCGTGCCTATCATCAAATTCCCTGTTAACCCTGCAGACATTCCGAAAAACTGGCCGTCACTAACCCCTTTTGGTCTTTTTGAATTTTTGGCTATGCCGTTTAAGTTTACGAAATTCAGGCCAAACTTTCCAACGTTTTATACATGAAGTTTTATTTGGATTGGATTTTTGCATCCCTTATTTTGACGACATCCTTACTTGCATCAACTAGCGAAGAAGAACGGCACAACCGTCATCTTCGTCAAGTGTTTGATCGTTTGAATAAACATGGTTTGACATTAAACCCTAACAAATGTGTTTTCATTTTTATTTTTAGCCCTCATTACTGCCTCAGGTGTAAAACCCCTGCCTGAGAAACAAAAGCAATTGCCGACTTCCCAAACCTACCACTATTGTCGAGCTCAGACGTTTTTAGCCATGATAAACTTTTATCGCCGCTTCTTACCAAAGGCAGCCGAGACCCAAGCTTCACTGAATGAACTCTTAAAAGACTCACGTAAAAATGATAAACGCCCTGTTCCTTGGAACGACTAACTTAATCAGGCATTTGAAAAATGTAAACATGACCTTAGTAATGCTGCAACTCTCTCCTATCACTCTCCTAACCAAAAGCTGAGTGTT